CGTCTCGAGCAAAAAACCATTTCCCTCTCTTTCGCACAAAACCATTTCAATGATTTTTTTACCTGTATTTTATATACCTCTTCTCACAAAACAATTTCAAAATCAAAAAAAGCTGATTTTAGACTTTTTCAAATGTCAAAAGTGACACCTCTGTATACTTTGTGGTACTGCTTTTGCGAAATTATTTCGCAAATATTGCTACCAAATATTTTATATGTAGTTTGACAGCATTTCGAACGAAAATTTTAACAGTAATGGTAATATACAAAAAAAGTACAAAAAGGAGTATAAAGACTAAAAGGAAGTACATACATTTAAGTGCTTATTGAGGGGTTATGCAGTTTAAAGTACAATTATGTGATAAAAGTACGCGTACTGATGAAAACAGTACGTCTGGCAAACACAAGACTGATTTTGTTATATACGTTTGTAACAAGAACAATACCCGTTAACCCCGTGTCTATATTAGACAAATATTTATTATACTAAACGTCAAATTGTTATCATGATAAAAAATTAGCAGGTACGGACGGCATTTATTAGCGTTATAACGTCGTTATGACAGTGTTGTCTAAACAATTGTTTAGACAACGTTGTCTTGATAACAAACGTCATTTTATTGTAAAATTTGTTTAGAATCTTGTTTTTGTGCAATTAAAATTGATTTTTAACATAAGTTTTAGTGAAATTAGTGTTTATTTACAAAATTTTCATTAAATTTTAATTGTTTTTATAAAATTTAGCATTATTTCAATAAAATTATCTGTGAGTTGTCGTGATAAAATCAGCATTTTGTTACCCCTATGCATTAACATAAACAAAAAACTGACAATTTTTCTGCCGACGTTTTGTCAAGTATCGTGATAAATATTTGGCTAATATAGACACGGGGTAATAAAACAACCTTTTAATAAACAGCAAACCCTAACATCTGTTTCTGATTGTTGTGTGGTGAGTTTCTATAAAAACGTAAACAAATGAAATAAAAACAAATTACAACACAAATTTATTTTGTGTTAAGAAAAATACATGTATTTTAATACATAAAATGTTTTATAGTCAGTGCCAGTGTTCTAGGAGTACATCATCTGCACCAATAATAATCGCGGTTGCTTTCGCTTCAACCCTTGCCATAATGTGCATATCGTTCTACTATTCCAAGACTAATAGGGCCACGGAATCCACCGGAGGTCAACCTATAACAATGACAGAGGGGTGGCTTTAACACCTTGTTCCTTTTATGTGGGTCAAGATACGAGCCTCATCTTGACAGTTCGGTAGATGCCTCATTTATGTACATTGCAGGGTCCTGGTACCCAACACAGCCTTATTGTATACGGTCTCATTATAACACTTAGATCTTTTCTTCTTTCTACGACTATACAAGGAAACACCTTTGACATATTAATGCTTTAAGTGCAGCATTATTATCAACCTATAGTGTTACCACAGTCCAGCGAACAACGTGATTCCAGCGTTTGTAACACATCGAAATATTGGTCTAGGATCCATAAAAGTATATGCTGGGTTCTTAGTACAGTCTAAGACGATCTAGCCAATATTTGCCAAAATAAGTTAAGTTAAGTTCTTTCACTTTTTGATGAAATAATTGAATAAAAATATTTCACTTTTTGATTAAATGATTTGAAATTGGTAAAAAGTTGTATAATTTTTTTGAAATAATTTTTATTTTTTGGTGAAATTATTGATTTGAAAATGAAATAGCGCGATTTTTTTGAAATAATTTTTCATATTTTGGTGAAATGATTGAATTGTGGGAAAAAGTGATATAGCGCCGCAGGTGAAATGATTGAATTGTGAAAAAAAGCGGCCTAGCGCCGCATGCGAAAAATTATTTCAAAAAAATCGCGCGATTTTTTTGAAATAATTTTTCACTTTTTGGTGAAATGATTGAATTGTGAAAAAAGCAGCATACCGCCGCAGGGGAAAAATTATTTAAAAAAATCGCGCGATTTTTATGTATGTATGTATGTATGTATGTATGTATGTATGTATGTATGTATGTATGTAGTATGTATGTATGTATGTATGTATGTATGTATGTATGTATGTATGTATGTATGTATGTATGTATGTATGTATGTATGTATGTATGTATGTATGTATGTATGTATGTATGTATGTATGTATGTATGTATGTATGTTATGTATGTATGTATGTATGTATGTATGTATGTATGTATGTATGTATGTATGTATGTATGTATGTATGTATGTATGTATGTATGTATGTATGTATGTATGTATGTATGTATGTATGTATGTATGTATGTATGCAGTTGCGTGATTCAAATAATTTTTAAACTGAACACATTACAATTAACCAAAATATATTTGAATTACGTGTGTTCACCCTGTTTTAAACAAGACGATTATAAATTTTTCGATTTTTTTTGTCGATTCGAAAGTTACAAAACACAGGCACTGGCTGTTAATAGGTTGATATAAATGATATGGACCATATTATATATCAATCAAAAGATATTTCAATACCATTGCATTGATATCCATATCGAATAATAAATAGTCCAATCTATACAAATGCATTCCATAAAAAAAAAAAATTTTTAAATATTAATTTTTAAAGTTATCTAACTTCTGCATTTCATGAGTTAGGTCTTTCAAACATGCAACATATGAAAGCTTATAATGTTGTCTATAAGATTTCATGTGACATAAAGTACCTTTATATCGATTTATTTTTGAAATAACGGTACTTTTGTAAAGAAAAATAAATAAAAATATATACAAATTGACCCTGGCTCTCAATGGGTTAATGATATAAGTTACAATATACATCAATTGAAAGGTATTTCAGAGACCTATCCACTGATACCCATATTGACCATATCAAATAATATGCACTTGAGATTTATAATAACATATGATAAAAATCAAAATTTACGAAAATATAAAATTTTAAACTTAAATAACAACTGCATTTCATGGGTTATAGCTTTCAAACATATATCAAAGGAAAGCCCCAAATGTTGTCTACAAACATTCACGTAAGATGAGGTACCGTTATATCGATATGTTTTAGAGATAACGGTACGTTTTTAAAAAAAGACAAATGAAAAAACAAAAAAATTCACCCTGGTTCTCAATGGGTTAATGATATAAGTTACAATATACATCAATTGAAAGGTATTTCAGAGACCTATCCACTGATACCCATATTGACCATATCAAATAATATGCACTTTAGATTTTTAATTACATATGATAAATATCAAAATTTATGAAAATATAAAATTTTAAACTTAAATAACTCCTGCATTTCATGGGTTATAGCTTTCAAACCTATATCAAAGGAAAGCCCCAAATGTAGTCTACAAACATTTACCTAAGATGAGGTACCGTTATATCGATATGTTTTAGAGATAACGGTACTTTTTTAAAAAAAGTCAAAGGAAAAAACAAAAAAATTCACCCTGGTTCTCAATGGGTTAATAATATTTGTCATCTAACACATCAGTGGAAAGCTCTGTCAAAGACCTTTCCAATGATACCCATATCGACCATATCCGTTTATCAGTGATCGAGATATATCCAATTATATATCAGACCTTTGGAGGCCCAAAACTCCCGAACCTTAATAGAGCGAATAATTTTTTTTCCTTTGTTGAAGTCACAAGAACAAGTACTATCATGTGGTATAAACAAAAGTTTTAAAATCAGCTGGATCAGAACGCTTAATTTATACCCCAACATAAAGTTCCATATAGGTTTTAAGCGTGCACAAGATCGTCCGATAGCAGTTATATATCTTTATATATGTACGGCCATAGTAAAATTTTTTGTAAAAAAAAGCTTGCTGTTGTAGTACACACCCTAGAACGATGAAATCCGGAAAACATTTATGCCATCCGATTTCTATATTGTCAATTTAAAGTTCTCTATAAGTTTTTAGCACAAGATCATTCGATAGCAGTTATATATAATTTTCAATATATGGCCATTTTTTATAAAAAAAAGTTTGTTGATGTAGTACACACCCCAGAACGATGAAATCTACAAAAAAATGGAAATCTACAAAAAAAATGTATGCAATCGATTTCTACACTTCCAACTTAAAGTTCTATATAGGTTTTTATCGGGCGCAAGATCGTTCGATAGCAGTTATATATAATTTTCTATATATGGCCATAGTAACATTTTTTGTAAAAAAAATCTACAAAAAATGTATACCATCCGATTTCTACACTTCCAACTTAAAGTTCTATATAGGTTTTTATCGTGCACAAGATCGTCCGATAGGCGTTATAGATAATTTTCTACAAAAAATGTATGCCATCCGATTTCTACACTTCCAACTTAAAGTTCTATATATTTTTTTATCGTGCACAAGATCGTCCGATATCAGTTATATATAATTTTCTATAAACTGCCATTGTAACATTTTTTTTAAAAGGCATTCTGTAACGATATAATCCGAAATATATTTATATTTTATCAGATTTCTTTCTTTCCACATTTATATACATATTTTAATTGATCAAAAATAAATTTTTTAAAGTAAATCATTAAAATCAACTTTTTTGATTTTTTTCCACGTGCATAAACACATATTGAAAATGTAAATAATGAAAACTAGTTTTTGCGTCTTTTCCACGTGCAGAAACACATATTTGTAAACAAAAATAACTCACCACACAAAAAAAAATGTTTATTATTGTTTACTTTTTCGTCGGGTTGTTTTCTTTATGTGCGTAACAAAAATAACTCACCACACCAAAAAAATGTTTATTTAGATAAAAGAGCTGTTACGGTTTGTTTTATTTTTCGTCAGGTTGTTTTCTTTATGTGCGTCTTCGTAGATTTAAATTAGGAAAGTCGACTTTTCATAAGTTACTTTTTCGAAAAGTCGACCGTTTGTTTGAACTATACAACCATGTCTAGGGTAAAGGAGTACATTATACGCAACTCTGTTAAAATCATTGCAAATTGTATTTTGTACACGGTAATATAAAGGTTGGCAACGCTTTGAATATCGAAGTTAAATCCATCCACAAATTTATTAAAAGAGAAATATTGTGCTACTTTTTTTAAAATGGTAAATTATATTTAAAAAAAAAGTTTTATTATTTACTATGTGATATATTTTTTCATTTAGGGTTCAAATGAAAGAACAAGATCACCAAGAGCCGATGATAATGGCAACGAGTCTGTGTCTCCAAAAAAGTTTCGCGTTGATTCTGGTAATTCCATTTATATTTTTTTAATTTACCACATACATATGTATATATTGAAATAGTATGATATCTATATTAATCTCTTATGTTTTTGATCTAAATACACAATAATGATTATGTTTCCTATGTACAAACATACATACTGATGCAAAGTAAATATATACAATTAACCCTCTTGTCTATATCCGAACTAATTCACGTTATTCAGTTGTTCAAATGTTCCCAGCAAAAAAAAATTTGAAGTTGTTAAAGAAGAAAGGATATTTTCATGATTTCTTTTGTACGTATTCTATTTAATGCGTTTTAAATACATGCCTAAATTCTAATAAATTTGTCATCAGTGAAGGCATGAAAAATGCACCCAAATTCACACATGTAACTCCACTATAGGAATTGTAATATTTTACTATAATTTGGTATTCTCTTAGGAGATTTAACGAAAACGTGCATTTCATACAATAAATATTAAAAATTACATTAATTTTTTATTAGATTTTTGTTTTTGTAGGTACCTACCTAGTAATATTAAGTCCATTTTAACATTAATAAGAGAAGGAAAAAAACGAGACTGCTTAACGGATTTTAAAACACAATGGGTATTTTTCCTCTGCATGAATTTAAATCCAATAAAAATCAGTTATGTTTTATCTTATTTTATTTTTATCAATATCACGCAAAAAAATATTTAAATATTGATAACTAAATCGAAATACCATTATTAATGCATTTTTAAATAAATATAGTGCACCAATGAAAATTCGCTTGAGAATAATCGAATATTCATTGGTTATAAGAACTCATTTAAATGACGAACTATTTTTCCAAATACGAACACATGCATGCCAATGACACGCTAATGTTAAAATCATGCATGTTTCCCCTAAATATGAACCAGTTCATTATCAGTTCAACCCATGCATTTACTACTTTTTTTGCACGTCTTTTTTTGCTGGGTTCCATTATAGCCAGGACTCTCATCCAATTATAAGACAGTTTAAATTTTTTACATAAAACTAATGTATTAAAATATGTACAATATGTACATTTTAGCCTTTTTTTTAATTTCTCATTGTATTCCTATTAACAAATAGGTATATTCTAAAAAACCTTCAAAGCCCTACACAATTATTACTCTACCGATAATGTAACAGAAAGATCACATTACCTTTAACTTTTATTGTAAGCTTTAGGAATTTTTGTAAAAATATGGAGGAAAAACAAATATGTACATATATGTAATTTAATTTTTCATATGAAAAAGACCCCAGGAAAATTAGGCAAAAAAAAAAAAAAATCTGGGGAATTTTAGATAGCTAAATAAAAATTGACTTATAGCTTCTCCTTAGCTTAGCCTAATTAGTATGGGATTAAATGTCACCGAAGATATCCTGTGCGCTAAGCGAGATATTGGATTTCAAAGATTACAAAAATCTGTTTTTAGCAAATACATATTTTTGGCTCAGATGGTCGTCAAATGATATGGAGATGCATTGGAATTATCTAACTTAAAACCAACTGTAAAGGACCCAAGTTGCTCTGCCATATTTTGGGGTTCTGTGTCCGTCCACGGTGTTGGACTGCTAAAATTTATTATTGTAATTATAGACTAGAAGGTCCACTTGTCAATTTTAGCAGAATTTGCATGCTAGTACCACCAAAATGGGGCTACAACCCATTCAATTTATTTTTCAACAGAAAAACGATCCAAAATACACGACCTGGTACGTCAGAATGTTGATCATTTACAACACTAAGTATCTTCTCTCACCAAATTTTCAATTGAGTTAATGTCTGGACTTAAACTCCATTAAAAATTTGTGGTTATATTTACAAGAACAACTTTTAAATCACTCATTATCCTCTAAAACCACCATACGGTTGCTTTGCATGAAGAATGGGACATAATAACGCCAGAACTATTCCATAAATTGGTAGAAACGGTCCCACGACGCTTGGAAGTTGTTTTTACTATACAAAACATTAATTTCATTTTAATTATTTACTTTTACTTCATAATGCTAATCTAAATATGATTTATACAAAGAATTCGAATAATTTTGTGAAGCTATTTTTTGCACTTTTTTTAAAAAAAAGTTAAATTAGTTTAAGTAAATTATTTTTTTTTTAATTTTTAAAATGTGGTATAAAATTTAAGGACTGTCTGGACAACATAATAGATTTATTTATTTATTTTTCCCACAAAATCTATTATAAAATGATGACTGTTTTCATAATACATTAAATTCGAATACTTATGAGAGACACTGTATCTTGCTTAATATGCGTCGTACGCATTTTAATGTAATTATAATTTTTATAGAGATTGACTTTCCTACATGGAAGAATATTTTTGTTGTTTTCGAGCTATAGTGCTGGAATATTTTCAAATCTATAGCTTGTACCAATAAGAAATTTGTCATAATTTGTACGTTATTTATAAGCAGTTAATATATGCTTATATCTATATTCTTTAATTTTTTTGTTAATATAATTTAATTTTTTTGTTAATATAAAAACAAAATTATAATAGTAAGCATATGTAATGAATAAAATTTAATTCATCAACATTGGTCAATATTTGTAAATGTTACAATTTATGAACTGCGACATATTACTCCGTATTTTAAACAAAATGTGTAATTTACTTCCACTTTTTTCATAAGATATAAGAATATATACAGTGGCGGAAAAAATTATAGAAACGGTTATATATCGAGTGAACAATTTGTTCTCACCCAACAATTAGCCGTTAGAATTGCATGAATAATATTATAAATGAAAGGTATTTAAGTCTACTTTAATCCGAAATTTACATTTAAAACTTATTTTAACTTATTTGTATTTTATTGATGTATACGAATATTTAAGTAATATCCCAGCAAAAAAAGACGTGCAAAAAAAGTAGTAAATGCATGGGTTGAACTGATAATGAACTGGTTCATATTTAGGGGAAACATGCATGATTTTAACATTAGCGTGTCATTGGCATGCATGGGTTCGTATTTGCAAAAATAGTTCGTCATTTAAATGAGTTCTTATAAACAATGAATATTCGATGATTCTCAAGCGAATTTTCATTGGTGCACTATATTTATTTAAAAATGCATTAATGGTATTTCGATTTAATTATCAATATTTAAATAATTTTTTTGCGTGATATTGATAAAAATAGAATAAGATAAAACATAACTAACTGATTTTGATTGGATTTAAATTCATGCAGAGGAAAAATACCCATTGTGTTTTAAAATCCGTTAAGCAGTCTTGGTTTTTTCCTTCTCTTATTAATGGACTTAATATTACTAATTTTAACAAAAATCTAATAAAAAATTAATGTCATTTTTAATCTTTATTGTATGAAATGCACGTTTTCGTTAAATCTCCTAAGAGAATACCAAATTACAGTAAAATATTACAATTCCTATAGTGGAGTTACATGAGAGAATTCATTCATTTTTCATGCCTTCACTGATGACAAATTTTTTAGAATTTAGGCATGTATTTAAAACGCATTAAATAGAATACTTACTAAAGAAATCATGAAAATATCCCTTCTTCTTTAACAACTTCAAAATTTTTTTGCTGGGATAGGTACTGTAATAATAATAAAAACGTTTCGTGGTATTGCACCGGGGACACAACGTTTTTCAACACTTTATTAAATAGTATAAACGCCAGATAGCTGAATCGGAGGACCCACTTTGAAAATAAAGAAACAATGAAGTTAATTACTTAAAAATGTTAAATAATCTATAAAATTAATTTATGATGAGATTTCGGGCCGAAAAAGTGTTGAATCCATGTACAGATAAGGACAATCTATATATATAAAATAGTAGCGTTACTGACTGACTAATTCATCATCGCAAAGCCCAAACGCCTGAACCTAGAATCATGAAATTTTGACAGTAGATGTGGTTTTGGTTATGTAGAACCACTAAGGAGGGATTTTTGGAAATTTATACATTTACGGGTAAAAAGGGGAAAAACGGGTAAAACAGTTATTCTTAATTATCTTACACAATATTAGTGATACAAGAAAAATGTTAAATGCACCAGTATCTACTCTTAAAATGAGCAGATGGGTGACTGGTACTTTTTTGAAATTCGTACCTTTAAGGGGTCCTTTATAACTTTTGAACTATTTAACTATTTAACATAATCAAATTTTTATAAATATTTTGGATACATCTCCCAAAATTATGAGACACCTGTTTCGTACTTTTTTTAAAATTTAGACCTTTTTGAGTTAAAAGGGAGAAAACAGTATTTATGATCCTTTTTTTATTGAATTATTCCTATTAAATTACGGACTAACTCCGTAATATTTATTGTAATAAAATTTTTGCTATTTCACTGGGAAAAAAATTACCAAAAAAGGGAAAAAAACGGGAAATTTAATTTTATTCAAACTCATTGAGCCAATTTTTATAAAATATGAAAAAAATAGTTTATTTACTCACACAAAATAAGCTGTTGGTATATTATTTTGGAATTCGAGTACTAAGGCCTATATAGGACCAAATTCGAGTAAATTGTTTGGTACTTTTTGAATACACTATTTTTCTGTAACAAATGAATGTACATTTGAATCGTTTGAATTTTATCTGTGATATATAGTTTTAAATACGGAACATTTGTAAACTTAATTCTCGAAAAAGTATATTTCTAAGCGAAAAGGAGAAAAATTATTAGTACTTTCCACTTGGTAAAATTTATTCCACTTTTGGTACTTTTTCTTCCTTCAAATGATATTCTTTGTATGTTCTTTAATATGAACTCAAAACACATGATTATTAAACATACATTGAATAAGATTATTTAAGAGACAACTTCTTAGTACTTTTTATCTCATAAATTGTACTTTTTTAATTTTCTAAAATATTCAACCTAGGAACATTAATTGTAACATACATGGTCTTGACTGAATAATATTCTGTAAGTGGGAACTATTTGGTACATTTCTATTCTTCACATGGTACCTTTTAGATTCTTTATAATGGTTA